GCCTTCTGCCAGATTCTGGCTTATAAATGTACAGGAAGTGCAGGCTGACCTTGCCAAGTGTTCAAGGCCTGGGCACTTGCAGTCCTTTGGGTGCTGACGAGCATCTTTTTAAACACTTACAGAGCCCCCTGTCTGCTTTCATCTCAGTGCCTACCGGAAATTTATCTTTGACTGTGCAAGCATTTAAATGGCGTCATTTCTGAAGCCTCAGGAAATCCCACCTATGCACTCTCCAGTCTATTCTGTCACTTCCATTTGCCAATTGGACTCAAAGTTTAAAAAACTGAAAGGAACAGTTACATTTCAAAATGTACACTTTTGGTTGAAATGTTACATACATATATAACATTGCACAAATCATAGGTGTAAATGGACCACTCATGTAATGAATAGAACCAGGTTGCTAGAAGCACCCTCCCCCCAATGCCACCACTGCCTTGTGCCCACTTCCAGTCTCTCCCCTACACACACCAGGAAAATGCTATGCTGGCTGGTAATATAACTTCTACTTTTGTCCTTTATATAAATGGGGTCATGTTATGTGTGTTATTTTGCATATCCAAATGCTTCTTTGGCTCAGCATTATATTGATGAGATTTATCCAGGTTCTTCTGTATATAGCTGTACTTTGTTCATTTTTATTGATGTATAACATTCTATTGTGTGAATAAATTGCTATTTGTTTAATGATTCTAATGCTGATGGACATTTGGATTGCTTCAGATCTGAGTTATAAACATTGCTGTCATTATCACTAGTGCATTCTAATATAGGTCTTTTGATGAACATGGGTACACTTTTCTGTTGAAAATACACTGGGGAATGGAATATACGAGATATAGGATATATACATTTGGCATTAGTAGATACTATCGAACACTTTTTTTGAGGTGGCTACCCATTTACACTCCTATCAGCAGTATATAAGAGTTATAGTCCTGGCACATCTTCATCAGCACTAAATCTTTCTTGTCCATTTAGGTATTCTGGTGGTTGTGTAATAATGTGCATTGTGTTCCTAATTTTCATTTCTCTGATAACTAGTAATGATGAGCACTTCACTTTATGTGCATTGGCCACTTGAGTATTTTTTAAAAAAATATATATTTCTTTATTGATAACACAACAGCACAGGCTTGTTGTAAGATAAAAGGAAGCAAGAGACAAAAATATACTAAGAATTGGAGGAAAATACTATTTAATGTCAAATAGTGGTAGAAAGTAAATTGAATACAAGGTACAGATATGTTTGATTTTATTGATAGTAAGTAAAAGAAATATATATATATATATATATATATATATATATTAGATATTTCTAAAAGTGGAACTGCTTGACAAAATAATTGAATATAGTATAATGGTAAATTGTGAAGCTTTCTATTGCTTTTGAACAAACATTTTAATTGATATATAATCAGATTACATTTTAAAGTAACTGAATTTACAGTAATTTAACTTACATATTTTTTAAGATCATAGTCAATGTGTCAGCAAGGCAGGACATTTCTTAACTTGCTGATAAAAGGGGGCTTTGAACCAATAAGCATATTGTTACCTATTGTGTCGTGTAAAAGATATAAAATAATGAGTGTGTATTTAGTGCCAAGATTTTCTCTACACTCAGTGGTATGCCAGTTCAATTCAACAAATATTTAATTATTGCTTGTGTTTTCCAGGGACCCGTGTTGGGTACTGAGGAGGAAGCAAAGATGAATAGTACCAGCCAGAGGGAGACAAGACATTAATCCAGTGACTAGGCTACAAAGCAGAACGAAGAATCATAAAGTAGAAAAGGTAAAACGCAGTGAGGACCTGGTGGAGCCTAAAATAATTTATTTTCCTCCCTCCCTCCCTCCTTTCACTTGTGCCAGGTCGCTTATCTGACAGAGAATCTGCAATCCTGTAAAATCTCCCCTGTTCATCCTTTCCTCACATTTTTATGAGCTCGCCTGCCACCAGCACTGCATTTGGAATGGAATCTATTGTGTAGGTGGTAAAACGATGGACAGCTATTTTTGTTCTAATTATGAGAACGGGTTTTATTGGGCGCGGGTTGGAGGGGGCGGTAGGGGAGAATGAAGGAAGCAGATCCGAGACTGAGATGCTCAGCAAGGATGCTCCGAGGAGGAGGCGTTACTAAGGTTACTAGAAAGCGGACAGCAGGTGATATTTAGGCAGGATTTTTTCTAAAACAAAACATATTTTCAAATGAGGCGAGTGGACTTAGAGCAGTGCCACTCAGTATTAGATGTGGCCCTAGTGAGTGCAGTGCCACACAGTATTCTCGAGAGGGGAAAGGAAAGAGGCAAACACACACACACACACACACACACACACACACACACACACACACACACACACAAAAAAAAAAAAAAAAACCTGCGGGCTGCGACTTCTAAACCGCAGGGAGCCTCTGCCTCTCCTTCCGGCCCTGTTCTTCCGCCGCCTTTGTTTCCCGGGAATCTTTTGGCTGTTGCACAAGGTCGGCTAACTCCCGGGGACGGTGCCATTTAGGTGAGACACGCGTCCGAGCCAGGCCGGAAGCGCCGCCCAGTGGGGACCCGTAGGGAGAGGCGGGGAGGGGGCGGGTGGCATCGGTGGCGGAGGCGGCGGGGCTGCGCGGCCTATCGGGACGGGGGCGGCCCTGCAGCAGCTCGTTCAGGCCGTGGGTCGTCGCTGCAGCCGTCTAGAAAGCGGAAAACGACGACTCTGCGGGCGAACTCGGCAGAGCTGGGAGGCGGGGAAGGAGTGTGTGAGAAGGGCCGTGAGTGCTTTTGGGCGTTGGGATGAAGGACCTCGAACTTGCACCTGCCATGCAGAAGTTGATTATCTTTTTTTCTTTTCTTTTCTTTTGATAGATTCTGAAGATTTCCGGCGTCTCCTTTCTCGAATTTCTCTCGGCCCTTGTCAGTTTATTCGTTGCCTGAAGTGAGTGAGGAGAGCATTTTAGTGCAACCGCTGAGTTGAGATGGGTTGTGATGTCTGAAGCGGCCAGAGAAACAAAAGATGGGAGAGGGGACCGGATAGGAGGTGGTGTCCTGGGATGTGGGAACTAGATGATGACGGTACTAATAGTTACATGTACCGGGTTTTACTGTACCAGACACTGTTCTAAAAACCCTTTGAATGTGGTCATTCAATTTCCAGTCCCGTGAGGCCGGTCCTCTTCACTGATCTCCCTGAGAGATGGGGACCCTGAGGCTCACAGGGTATAGAACCTGCTCAAAGGAAGACCAGTGAGACGTGCAGAGCCAGGGTTTGAATGCTGATCCAGAACATACCTCTAAGCGGCACCCAGTGGTTGTTCCCCATAAAGATGTGAAGAAAGTGAGGACTTAAGGAGTGAGGGGCTGGGATGGCTTGAACAGATGTGACAGGTGGAGCAAGGAAGTGACATAGAGTGTGATCCAGGTGAAGACAGATGTGAGGGTAGAGCTGGAAATGGAGCCTTATAACCTCGAGTCCTGGCTCGGGCCTTCCTCTCTAGGATTGTGTGGGACAGAAGAGAGGTATTCAGCCACACACCTACACTTGAAAGTGGAAATATAGAAGATAGTCAGACCTCGGTTCTGAAACATCTTCCATCTCGGTTAGGTTCTCAACCAGGTTGTTCATGAAGAATTCTCTGTTGTCAATCAAAACGTTGGTTCTCAGTTATGCTGATACCTGTATCACTGTCTCAGGCAGCAAAGGAGAGAATGTGCCAGTGGAGTCAGTTTAGTGCTAAATCTCACGTTAACATCTCAGGAAATTGTGCAGTAAATATTTTCGTTTTTTGGGGGGAGGGGAAGCTTTGGGGAGTCTGGAATGGATTAATTCAATTTACATTATTAAAATGATCCAGTTTTCGAACAGCCTTCTGGAACAAAGTATGTTCCAGAACCAAGGCTCTATTGTACTAGATCATAGGATTTAAGGATTATGTGATACAGCCACCTTATTTAGCAGATGAAGCCCAAAGAGATGAAGTAATTTATTCAAGGTACCCAGGACTAGAAACATATCTTGTCTTAGGTCCAGTGCAATGAAATTTAGAGTTTTTCCCTCTTTTTTTTTTTTCTTTTTTTTCTTTAATCATCACCTGAGGATATGTGTTTTTGTTGTTCTTTTTAGAGAGAAAGGGAGAAAGAGAGAAACATTGATCAGTTGCCTCCCCTATGTACACTGACTAGGAATTGAACCCCCAACCTGGGTATGTGCATGCAGGAATTGAACCTGCAACCCTTCAGTGCACAGGATGATTCCCTAATCAACTAAGCCATATATAAGGCATACTGGTTGATGTTTCTCTCTCACATAACATTTCTCTCAAATTAATAAACATGTCCTCAAGTGAGGATTAAGGAAAGGAAGGAAAAAAATAATGTACTGTTCACAAATGCAGTAAGTCTAATGGAATATAATAAAACAGCATATTCCATAGATGCAATTTGGAGTAGTGGAAAGCATGGGCTTAAGAGTCTAGTAGGTCAGTTTAGCCACCTATTTGCTCTGTATAATTGATGCAACTTTACGTCTCTTGTCCTTGATTTCTTTATCTCTAAAATGGAGATATTAGTTCCTCATTTGCAATTAGAAACAGTGTTTTTAAGTACCTAGCATAATGTTTGGAACAAAGTTGATGATAAATACACAGCAACTGTTACTACTCCCAAGTTAAATGAAAGTGAAGCATTGCTAAATCATGTATAATATACAGTCACATGGCAGCTTCTAGACCTGATATTTAATAAGTGGGTCAAAGACTAGCCTCTTGTTGGCCTAATGGTGAAAAATGTTTACTCATTTTCTGAAGGGTAAGTCTGTTATTTCAGAGTGAATGAAAGTTTTAGATGTGCAGATAGCCAAGGGACATTGATATATACACCATATTCCTTTAAACTATTTTGGCGTTCAAAGATAACATGGTTGTTTTTTTTTAAGATTATTTTTTAACTATTCTGTTTCGTGAACAGTGAGCAATTTAGGTTCTAAGTAACTGACTTTATACTTTACAGATGCATGGTCATGGAGGCTATGACTCTGATTTTAGTGATGATGAACACTGTGGAGAATCTAGCAAAAGGAAAAAAAGGTAATTTTTTATTGAACTATGCTTTGGATCCTTTCTAGATTGAGATGAAATATAAAGAAATAATATTGAAGGTTTTGGGATTGTGTTTATATGTGAAGACAATGATGTTCTACTGAGTTAATTTTTTATTAAAGATTTGAGAACATTTATGTGAAAAATAAGAATATGTTTATGCTATGAAGAGATTTATAGAAGTGGAAGGGGAAGAAGGACTTTATTTGCAGATGTCATAGCTAAGACGGGGCGTGGATGGTGGTCCCTTTGCTAGTGCTTTACTTCAGAATAAGCTTAGTGTAGGGGAGTTAATGGGAGTTTTTATGACTTGGTCTTCAGCCAATAAAGCTGGGGCTTTATAAGGAGGCTACTACATATTGGTGGGATTGCTATTAGGGGTGTGGTTTCAGCTTCTAGTGCTTAGAAACTTGATTTTATCTAGTAACTTAGGAGTAGTTGACTGATTGATTAATCAAACTTACAAAAATTGGTTTATTATTTTACACTGAGAGCAATATATTAGAGATACTAATTGAGACTGAATATTTTTGTTGGGTATTCAAGTCTACGTGGGTAACCAAAAGGACAGAAAGAATTACAGCAAACTAGAGGCTCAGTGCACAAAATTCATGCATGGGGGATGGTGTCCCTTAGCCTGACCTGCACCCTCTCCAATCTGGGACTCCTCCGACATCCCTCTCACAGTCCAGGACTGCTGGTTCCTAACTGCTCACCTGCCTGCCTGCCAGATTGCCCCTAACTGCTTCTGCCTGGCAGCCTGATTGCCCCCTAACCGCTCCCCTGCTGGCCCGATTGACACCTAACTGCTCCCCTGTGGTCTGATCGCCCCCCAACTGCACTCCCCTGCTAGTCACCCCACACAGCCCACTGTTCAGTCATTCAGTTGTCCTTCACTAACCCTCCTGCCAGCCTGGTTGCCCCATGCAGCCTGCTGTTTGGTCATCCGTCCAGTTGTTTCGGTCATGACTGCCCCTGACTTTTTATATATTGGGATTACATTTTATGGTGCTTTCCAAAATTTTTAAGATTTTTCATTAAAAAATATTACTTTGTAAGAATAGAATTTGAGCAAATCTAGTTAGACAGCCTCCTCTGCTCTAGGGTTACATATATCTATCTAACTAGGGCTAACAAATATAGTCTATATTACCTTTAACCAGTCCCTTTTTTCATGTTATCAGTTCCCCAAAACTTTGATATCTCTACTTTATAGACAGGGAAATTGTGGCACAAAAAACTTGAATAACTTAATTTTATTTAAGATTAAGATAGTGAATGCCAGAGCCAGAATTTGAACCCAGGAACCTTGGGGGTCAGACACCGGGACTCATACATTTTTGGTTTCATCTCCATTTTATAGGTATAAAAATAAGTTAAGATATTAAGATATGTAAGGAAACATAAAATGTGTCATTAAAGATCAGTGAGTCTTTTTTTAAATTTAAGGCTTTAATTCTTTAAAACATGTTCCAATTGTGAAAATATAAAGAAATAAGAAACGCTTTGAGAAAAACAAACTCTTAATAATAATTTTTCTTCTCAATAAACCAGGACCACAGAAGATGATTTACTGCTCCAAAAGCCATTTCAGAAAGAAAAACATGGAAAGGTGGTCCATAAACAGGTTGCAGAAGAATTGCTGGATAGGTACAGTATTTAAACATAAATCACTTTTTAAAAATTTAAGATGTTTTTGTAAGCTCGGGGACTTGAAGATTTGAATATATTAATTAGAATATAGACATTGGACTTTGCTTAAAATAAATTTTTTCTTAACAGAGAAGAAGCAAGAAATAGAAGGTTTCATCTCATAGCTATGGATGCTGTATCCTTTTTATATTTCTAGGTTTTTAGAATAAGTAGAATATTTTAAAATCTTTATTTTATAAAAATCTTATTAAGCCAAATTAATACTTTACTTTTAAAGTGTATTTTCATTTCTACTTTTGAGTACAGTTCTTTTTTTTTTTTTTTTTTTTTTTTTTTTTTTTTTTTTTTTTTTTTTTTTTACTAATACTGTATATAAAAAAGATTGAGGGGCAAAAATAATAAAAAACATATTCCCAATGTTCCAAAAACAGGTTTACAAAGTTAACGAACTTGCAGATATTTTTTCTAACTTGTTTTGCCAGGCTCTCAACATTTCTCATTTTAATACTTTGCTTGCCTTCTGTCTCATTTTATCTCATTCTCTTCCTACCCGCTTCTTGGGTAGTTAGGGTCTTTGTAAAATAGTATTGAAAAGTAGATCTGTCTGTTCTCAGGTCTGCTGTGACTTCAACTCTCAGGCGTGAGTTGGACCTCTCTTTAAACTATACCTTGCTTCCCTGATATGCCATGTCTCAGCTCAACTTTTTGGTAAGTCTGTGGCTGATTACAGTAACTACTGCCATTGGACTTCCATATTACCGAATATTGGAAAGTGAAAGAGAAGCCAAGCAAGATATGAAGTATTTCTAGGTGTGTTACTATGCTCAGAATTGGGAGAAGGAGACAGTGTCAATTAGATGCATTCCCTCCCATCAGTAGCAATCTGTTTCACTTTGTTATCATTTCTGATACTTTAAGTCATAGAAGTTTTCTTTTCAACAATTTATTTCTCTTATCTCCTAACCCAATTGCCAATTGCTTATATTTGCATTTCAACTTCTACTCCGCTTTCTCTGGCACTATATTCATTTAGAGGTGTTGGGCATCTATGTAAAACCTGGTGAGGGTAAAAGGTCCCCTTTTCTGGCATAGGTAGAGGTGGAACACATGTTTTTTTCTGGAGTGTTTGGCTGGATTCCAGCAGTTATTGTCTAAAAGTTACCTAGTTTGTTAGACTGCCACTCTCTTGGTTATTCAATTAGAGAAGATTCTGGGACTTTAAAAAAAAATTTGTGCTAGTTGGTATTTCCATCTTTCTTCACTTCCAAATCTAGGATTTAAAATGCAAAAAAGTTAATTCACTACCATGTTATACCATGAGTCCTGGGGTCTCTAGCTTCTTTCCATCTTTTAGAACCTTCCTGTTTTGTTTTTAAAGAAATTTTTACTGATTTTTAGAGAGAGAGGAGGGGAGAGAAAAAAACATCTACAAGAGAGTGAAACATCGATTGGCTGCCTCCTGCATACCCACTTATGGGGGATTGAGCCTGCAACCCAGGCATGTGGCTAACCAGGAATTGAAACCAGCAACCTTTCAGTGCATGGAATGATACCCAATCAACTGAGCCACACTGGCCAGGGCCATGTGTGTGTCTTTTAAGTATATATTATAATATCCAAGGGATTTAGCTGTTCTTGGTGGAAGAAATAGGGAGAAGTATATCTTTGTCTACTCCATCTTTCTGGAAGAAAAGCTCCACCTACCACCTGCTTTGGAAATAGATTTTTAGAACCACAGCTATGCTCATTCATTTAGATGTTTTCTGTGCCTGCTTTCATACTAAAATAGCAGAACTATGCAGTTGCAACAGAGACCATATGGCCCACATATTTACAAAAAATATTTGCTAATCCTAGCTCTAAAAGATTTAAGTGATTTGCTAAGGTCACATGATTCATGAGTGATAGACCAAGAGTTAGAACCCATATCTCCAGATATTTGGCTGTTCTCTTTTTTCTTTTATGACATGTTAACTGTTTTGATTCTAGTTTTGGAAGAATATTCTGATTGATACTCTATCAGAACACATTTTGATCAACTAAGTCACTATCCTATATAATAATAAAAGGCTAATACGTAAATAAACCAAATGGGAAAATAACTAGTTGCTATGATGTGCACTGACCACCAGGAGGCAGATGCTCAAGGCAGATGTTCAAGACAGTGCTTCTACGCTGTCTTCAGTCTTTGCTCTGTGCCTGGATGTGCAAATTAACCATCATCTTGGTTGGGTTAATTTGCATACTTGATCCTGATTGGCTGGTGGGTGTAGCAGAGCAATGGTTAATTTACATATTACTCTTTTATTAGATAGGATAATAGTGAAAGAGAAATTCTACTCCTTACCTTTAATTTTTGTACTCCTTAACTACAATTTTTTTCATATTGTGATGAGTAAAATGAGGGATGGTGTGAGGCTATATGTAGTTTAGCAATAGAAGAGGAAACTTTCCTTTTTGCTGGTAGAGAGATGTTTTATCAAGAGTAGTATTTTCTTGAAAAATGTTTAAAACAATATAAACAGTATTCAGTAGAAAGTAAAAGTCCCTGTTCTCTATAATGTTCATATGTAATAGTCTAATATTTACCTTTTCTTATCTCTGAATTTATAAGCATTGTATGGGATATATTTACATATTAACAAAGCATATTATGATTTTTATTTCTACTCACTAATATGTCATGGACATAGAACAACTCTTACAATCCTTAATTTTTTGCATTTCAGTACCAAAGGCATGCAAAGTTTGTAAATGACTATATTTTGTATTATGGTGGCAAAAAAGAAGATTTCAGGCGATTGGGGTAAGTGTCATGAAGTTTAATTGGAGGGGAGAGTGGAGATCTTTTAAAGACCTATTGCTCCTATGTCTTCTGGTTCTGTAATTTTCCTCTGCTTTCCTCTGTTATATCATAAAGTGGAGAGACCATCCATAGCTTCTAGCTAAGTAGCTTCTCACGAAACCCATTTCTCTGGCAACAGATAGCCTGCAGAGCTACGGCTGCCCCTGGAATAACAGATGTGAGGAATACACATGTACCTGATTATGCAGGGTGTTGTTTTTTTTTTTGTTTTGTTTTTTGTTTTTGTTTAATGCTCTTTGAACTTTTAAACCTCAGTGTTTGGGATTGCTTTTTTAAAGATAGGGAAAACAAAAAAACCTCACTCTAATATTTCCCACACGTGAAATTGCTTTCTATATTTGAGGCTCTTCTCTTGAGAGCCTCTTGGTTTTGTTTGGGTTTTTCCCTCTGACTTAACAATTTTCTGAATTGGGAGACCCCTAAAACACTTCCTACCATGTTAATCTATCTCAAACTTACCTCCCTTTCAATTCAGCCTGTATTCCCCTACAATCCCTTATTTTACCCCTAAACTGTTAGCATCCAGAAAAATTATACCCTTCAACTCTCTTCCTTACTGTCTTCTTAGGAAGCTAGAGAAATGAGGAATGGAAAGCTCTTCATATAATTTTAAAACTAGATCTCAATAGGGTAGTGTTATTGACATTTTTGTATTTTCTGAAAGGTATTTTTCATACATTTTCCCTTGTCCATTTAATGTTTACTCAGATTTCTCATTTTAGCTTTGGTTATTTAGCACCATGTGTATAATTGAAATCAGTTCCAGAGATGGATGGTTTCTTATCCATTTAAATTGCTTCTGTAGTAGCATTCTTTATAGTGCCTTTGAAAAGTACTGAAATAATTTACAAATATATGAACATATATACATACACATAAAACTGTCTTTATCTTTGTGTATTTCATTTTCACTTAGGTCTTCAAAAGCCTCACAAACTGTTTAACTTTCTAAATTTGACTAATTCAGTGTTTATATTAGATTGAAATAGTTTTATTTTCCAGGGAAAATGACAAGACAGACATGGATGTTATACGAGAAAATCATAGATTCCTATGGAATGAGGAGGACGAAGTGGACATGAATTGGTAATTTTAGTCATCTGACACATAATGCATCAAATGCTTTTGTTCTACCTCTCTTACCCTGCATAGAACAAATCTGAATTGAGGACATAAAACCACGCTTCAGATTACTGAACCTAGTTTGGTTCTTTTGGTAACTTTTAACAGTTTTAACTGACTTCTCATTGCTTGAGTTTGTCTTTAAAAAAGAAAAACATTAAAAAATATATATATTTTATTATTGATTTTTTACAGAGAGGAAGGGAGATAGATAGAAAGCTAGAAACATCGATGAGAGAGAAACATCCACCAGCTGCCTCTTGCACACCCCCTATCGGGGATGTGCTTGCAACCAATGTACTGGAATCGAACCTGGGACCTTTCAGTCTGCAGACCGATGCTCTACCAACTAAGCCAAACCAGCATCAGCAAGAAAAACATTTTTAAAATGATATTGTTGCCCTGTAAAATGCTTCTTTTCAAATTTTTAAAAATATTTTGGAAAAAAAAAGTAATACCTGAAAATGGTCCTAAAAATCCAAACATTACAAAGGCTAAAAAGTGAAGAGTAAGGCCCTTTCTCATGTCTGACTGTCAGTCTTCTAGATTCCCTCCCCGAGAGAGCAACTATAATAGTTCATATTCAGAATTCTATGCATGGATAAGTAAAAGACATCTTTTAAAACATTTACATCGTATGCATTATTTATTTGACATTGCTTCCAAGTAGCAAACTATAGTTAAATTTCTAAAGGAAGATTTATATTTTTTTATGAATCTAGGGAGAAAAAACTTGCAAAGAAATACTATGATAAATTATTCAAGGAATACTGCATAGCAGATCTCAGTAGATACAAAGAAAATAAGGTATGCCTTCCAATATTTCTATAAGAAGGTTTTTATAAAAGTAAAGTGTTACTTTTATTACACTATCTTACCCCTCACTATTCTTTTAAAGATGAGATTCTAGTCTAAAGTGCCCTGTATTTATAAGGTATCATGTGGACCATTTAACTCTGCAGCTGTGGAACTTAAAAGGGCCCCTTAGTCAAGGGTGCTTCTTTGTGAGCTGAGGCAAACAAGTCTAAAATTAAACACAAGTGGCTACTGGATCCTGTTTTCATCTTGACTCTAGTCTAGAGCCTCTCATGATTATAATGAATGATTTGACACTGCAGAATGACGTTTTGTTTCACAGATGAAATTGACTATTTTTTCCAAATTGTTTATCATTTGTAAAGAGGCAGATGCACATCTTTTATTACAGAAATGTCTGTTTCTGAAAATGAACTTATCAGCTAATTAGTAATGGCAGATTTTCATTCCCACTCTACATCTTATTTTAGTTAAATTAAAGGGATTTTTATTCCTATCCCATATTTCACATTTGTAGCTAGAGAAGGTGACCCAAGAACATATGATCTCAGTTTGAAGTGGCAGGGGAGGTAATGTTGCATAAATCTATATGTTTGGATTATGTACATTTATATTAAGTAATACTGTTTTAAAAAGCTGTCTTAAATTTATTTATTATAAGGAGTTTGTTTTCATTTAAATAGTTAAAACTCAGAACCATAGTTGATTTAATTTTCAGTAGTGCCTTTAATATGTGGGTTGCTTCACAATATTCTCATAGATAATATTAGTGTCCATTTTTATAACATATGCACTTGGTGTATCCCAAAGACTTCCTCAATTTCATGTGAATTAGCTCTCATCTCTATGTTAGTTATTGCCATATCGAATTCAAAAAGCACCACAGCAGTTGGAGTTACTTGAAAATCTCTACATTTCAAGTTGAATGTGAAACATAGGTCTTTTTAAGAGCACATAATGGAGCAGCTTTTTCAACTGTGACTAATTTGTTGATTGTTTTTCAGTATTTTTTGAGGAGAGGCTAGGTATTGTGGATTAACACCTGGTGTCCACCCTTCAAAAAAACAACACACCAAACCTATAGTCCAGTTAAGGAAAGAATGTGTACTTTGTGAATAATTAAGTATTTGTAGTCTCCACAGTATATTACTGGAAATCATACTTTAGAGAGGATAATCTTAAAATAAATTATTTTTTTCCTATTAGAACATGATGAATAGTGAGAACAAGGGTTAGTGCAAAAAAAGAAGTCAGATACGACTCACATGTTTTGAGTGTGAATACTAGAGAAATAGGAAATATGGAGGGAAGGGGATCTTTTTTAAAAAAATAAGACTAATCGTTTTTTATAGCAGTTTTAAGTTAGCCAAATTGAGGGGAAGATACAGAGATTTCCCGTCTACTCTTTGCCTCACACAGGAGGGTATCTTTTTGGGGGGAGAAGATAATGACTGTGTTTTAGCATACCATGTTTGAGGTGTTGGAGACAGAATAGTACTTTTGATTTCCTTGGTAGAATGCATTTTCTCATATTTTATTTATCCAGAGACAGTGTTTTATTCGTTTTTTAATTAACCAGCTCCTAGCTCAGTGCCTACCATATATAGTAGTTAGATAGGGTATTTTTAGTGAATTCCAACCTTGGTTCCACACCTCCATTTTCTTCTTTGTTGCTTTTTTCCTTCCATCATTGAGAATTTGGTTAGATCATTGCATCAGTTAGGATTAGATTCAGCTGAGGAGAACAGCAAACACTCCCAAAGAACATGGCATAAATGTTCAGTCCAAGTATCGATAGATGGCATCGAACCTTGTGTCATCAGGAAGTTAAGATTCTTTTCTCTTATTGCTTGCATGTGTGAGCTCTTTGTTCTAGAAGGTAGAGTGAGAAGAAGAGGCTCAGCACCAAGCCTTGAGTAACTCCAGTGTTTAATCCAATGTATCAGCAGAAAAATTTCTATCTTCAGGAAAGAATGTAAAAACATCGAGACAAAACCTCTAAATCTTTCATATGAGGAAATTTACAGTTGTCGCTTTTAATAACCACTTTTTATCCTCAGAATGCTAAACCCAATAAGTAGTTGCTAATTTTTTTGTTGAATAGATTAATGAATGAAAGATAAACTTTGAAAACTATTACATTGCACATTTTACTGTGCTTCAGTAGGCATCTCTATGTTGGATGGAAAGCAATCCTCACATGAATGGGTTTAAAAAAAAGCTATTTTGAATTTTTTATTTCTCCTTTCTTAGACTGGGAAGATTTTCTTTGGGTTTTAATCAGAATATTTTGAAATATTTTGCGCCCTTATTTTTACTTGAAATACAAAATTGCCTGCCTTAGCCTGTTTGGCTCAGTAGTTGGAGCATTGGCCAACTGACTGAAGGGTCTCAGATTCAATTCTGGTCAAAGGTATCTACCTGGGTTGCAGGCTCCAATTGAAGTGCAGGTAACCAATTGATGTGTCTCTCTTACATCCATGTTTCTCTGTCTCTACCCCTTCCTTACACTTGCTCTGAAAATCAGTGAAGAAAATATCCTCAGGTGAGGATTAACAGACAACAACAAAATTGCCTAATTCAAATAATAGTTGGTTTAAAAAAATAATACAACAACCTATGAGATTAGGATTTTTATAACAAGGAAATAGACTAGATTGAGACGTTAAGTTACTTTCCCAAGGCCACAGAACAGTTTAACAAACGAGAGAGCTTGCTTTGGGTCTGCATATTCTGGAACTAAACTTTTAACTATTACAAAAGTACACCATTACTAGAATTATGGTAAATTAGTTTATGAATGTGAAAGATATTAAAAAGCAGTGGAGAAAAACCATTTTTAATCAAAAAATAAAGTTGTGTTTAGGAATCCGGAGGGCAGTTTAACATATTTCTGCTTTAGGATTCCAAACTGTTACCATTACTCTTTCCTGTTTATGACTATACTGCTGTAGTGGGAAGAGAGCCACATGAATGAATGATGTGGCTCTGTTTATAAAACTTTATAAAAATAGGCAGCAGGCCTATTAGCCATAGTGTGCTAACCAGTGGTATAATATATACCAGGTACAATTCTAAATACTTTATATGTATTATTTAAACCTCTTAACCCAAAGAGGTAGACGTTGTATTACTTCTAGTTTACAAATGAGGAAACAGGAACAAGTAGATTAAATAGCTGTTTAGTGGTAGAGCTAAGAAGTAAATCTAAACAGTTTGACTCCAAAGGCTGGACACTTGCGCTGTGGTATACTGCTTCTTACTGTACCATAATCTCGTTTTCTGTTTTCTGTCAGTCATAGGAGATACCGATCTATCTACATGACACACAATTAATTTAGATGTCTTTTGGCCTGGCATCTATAACTTTTTAAAGTAAAGAAGATTGTTCCTTAACAGATAAATTGGTAATTGTTCAAGTGTATTTTTAAGTACCTGGAATCCTATGAGAGAAAAAGCTATGATAATGGGAATTAGTTTTATTTTTAGGTTAATAAATGTCATTATGTCAATTGTTGTCTCCAGGTTTAGATTTATTATATACAATTTAAATAATGTTTAAATTTACTCTGGTATAAATGTAAAGTTTTTTCTTATCAGTTTGGATTTAGGTGGAGAGTAGAAAAAGAAGTAATTTCAGGAAAAGGTAATTTTTTTTTCTTTAAAATTTTATATTTTAATTGGATAAGGTTATTTTGTTATATTATTGAGTTTAAGTCATTGGGTAAGATTATTCCTAATGTATCAGTGAGTAATTACCCACAAAAGTAAAATTAAAGAAGGAATACTCATGATGTATTAGTAGCAGAGGTCACTATTAATGCTTTAGATTTTTACCTTTAGAATTTTTGCTTTTAGAATATTCAATTGAGGATAAGTAGAAAGTGTTTAGAATTAAAAATTTAACTCTAAAGTTAAATATCAACAGGTGAATACTTGACTTTTTCTCTTTATTTTTGGAATAATGAGTTGGTATTGCTGTATTACAATCAAATCACCATTTTGAAAGTAGAAATTAAATATCACTTTGAACCTAATAAAATTTTTAGACATGCTAGTTTTTTGGGGGACTCACTGAGATTGAGTCCAAATATTTACTTTTACAATAAAATAACAGACATTTGGTAGGCAATCAGCAAATGCTTTTCCCATGTATTATTGTAATCTATTCACAAAATTTTTCTGAATACTTAATATCTCTACACTGTCATGCTATAAAATTCTCTCTTTATCTATAATTGCATTTTTAATTGCAACAAAAATTAATGTCCTCTGAAAACTACATAGGAGCATTTAGGAAATAATTTTAAATTAATAACTTAAATTTCTTAAAATAAAGGTTGCATTTTAAATGAGTAAACATTTATGCCACCAAAGTGGTTTATATACATCTTCTATAAATTTGAACGTCTATGACAGGTGTAAAATTGGACATGCAATTAAGCATTAGGAATTTTTTTTCTTTAAGTAATAAATATTAGTCCTGAAGCTACTTTAGAGGACAAGGAAAAATAATAAGTTTAAAACTTTTTAAGCTTTTCTTGATATCACATTTTAGTTTGTTTTTACCTAAAACAATGATATATATTCAAATGTCTATCACGATTTAAAATTTTTGTACTTTCATTGAATGGAATTTTCAGATGATGGTAAATAATGCTGCTTTTTAAAACCTGGTAGACATTCTCAAAATTAAATTAACTAAAGCAAAGATTAGTTGGGAAGGGGAGAGAATGCTTTTACTATCCTATATAATAAAGATGTAATATGCAAATTGACCACCAACGTCATCACAAGATGGCTGCCTGTGACCAGTCCAGCAGGGGGATTAGTGAAGGACAATCAAATGACTGAACAAGCAGGTTGTATGGGCCACTAGGCTGGCGGGGTGGCGGGTAGTGGGGGAGGGGGGCGGCGGCAGTTAGGAGCGATCAGGTCAACATGCAGAGGCAGTGAGTAGTGATCAGGCCAGAGACATTGGGCAGGGGCAGTTAGGGACAATCAGGCTGGCATGCTGCGGGCCTAAACTGGTAGTCAGTACCTCAAGGGTTCCCAGATTTGAGAGGATACCAGCTGGGCAGAGGGGACTCCCCCCGTCTCACCCTGCACGAATTTTGTAAACCGTGCCTCTAGTGATTTATAAAGGTACAATTTTTGTTGCTGTTTTAACAATAGAACTATTACTGAACATGTACAGACTTAATAAAGTATTCTTCTGAAATAAGTAAAAATGCCAATTTAGAAAAGTTGTAGGACTGATAATTTTCAAAATTCATTTTGATAATTTAATTTTTATGAAAAGTTCAGATTCCTGCTGGTACAAATTATTAAGATACAAGTTTTATTTGTACAAATAAAAGTTTGATTTTTTTTTCTGTCAAAGTTAATAATCTTGGAGTTTCTTTCACCCCCCCCCCTTCACCCCCTTTTTGGATCATCAGTATTAGTCCTTTTTACAGAAGGTTTTAATGTACAATGGATATGATAATGTGGTATTGATTTTAGTGTCAAGTGATTCTAAAATTTAGAGCATTGGATTTGGTTACTTTATCTACTTCATCTCAAAGTGCTAGCACTTTTAAATGTGCTTTTAATGCCATTTTATGTTGATATCTAAAATAAATGCCATTAATATTAATACTTAAAAATATTAATTGTAATAATATTATTAAATATTGAAAAGGATTCATCCAGATGTATGTGTACTTTGGAAAATATATTTATCCTTTTAGGGTATTAGTGAGTATATATACTCTTTGAATATTACCATTTTCCAAAGTATACAGTTCCCTAACAGGGACACTAAAATTTTATCTGTAAATATAAACAGCCTATTAAGCAAAAATTCTGTGACTTGTTTTTTTAATTAATTTTAAAAAATTGATTTTGGAGAAAAAAATCTGATCTGTTGCCTGCTACATGTGCCCCAACTAGGAATTTGAACCCACAACCTCAAGGTGTGCCCTGACTGGGAATCCAACCCACAACCTTTTGGTGCATGGGAAGACACTCCAACCAATGAGTCACACTGGCCATGTGACTGATTTTTAAAAATATATATATTTTATTGATTTCAGAGAGGAAGGGAGAGGGAGAGAGAGTTAGAAACATCAATTATGAGAGAATCTTTGATCGGCTGTCTGCCTTCTGCACTCCCCCAACTGGGGATCGACCCCACAACCCGGGCATGTGCCCTTGACTGGAATTGAATCCGGGACCCTTCAGTCCCCAAGCCAATGCTCTATCCACTGAGTCAAACCAGCTAGGACTGATTTTTTTTTAAAACCAGTTCTCTCATCCTTTTAAATTGTTACTTGTATATACATTTGTTGATTGTGTTGTAATTATTGTGATCAGTTTATTAATGCTGCTTTGTAGAACTAGGAATTTATGTAAAGAGTAAATTTCAGCCATAATACCAGGTTAGATAGAATATTGTCACACCTATCATAGCTAATAATTCCTTTTTTTTCTTTGCAGGCCAGTTTTTCTGTGGAAATAAACATTGTGATAAAAAAGACAACTTAAAGAGTTGGGAAGTTAATTTTGGTTATATTGAGCATGGTGAAAAGAGAAATGCACTTGTTAAATTAAGTAAGTTGACTAGATGATTCATTTCTTCAAAGTTTATCTAATAATTTAGATTTTTAAATATATGGACTAATTTAAGACTCAATTCAAAATTTTAATGTTTCTTTAAGTGCCCTTTTTCTCAGAGCTTCCCAAAGTCACAAACAGTGTTTGAGCCAAACATGTTAGTATTCTCAGCAATCTGGTGACATTTAGGAAAAACAGTTCTAATGTTAATGTAATGCCATTGGTAAAGTGAAGACCTCTTCTCATTAACTTGAGAACGTCATCAATGTAGTGTGAAATGCATAGTATCAGAAAAGGCTCTGTACAATCTCATATTAGCTGGTAGCTATTGTTGTGGTGGAGATAATAATAAATACATTCTTTGTGTCAATAAAGAAAAAGTTTTAGGAAGGCAAAATTGTTCTTGATATCAATCTTAAAAGCTTAGGGTTGCATCCCAGAATATAGTAGTTTCTCTTAATATGCGTGTTTTAGAATCTGTTCTTCATTCTTTTTCCCCCCTAAGCTGGTATTATGTCATCTTCTCTTCACCATATTAATAGCCTTCTCTAGTACCTAAATAAATGTACCCTCGGAGTGTTCTCCAGAAAGAAGTCATAAATTTCCCCGTAGGCTACTTAACACGCACCAGTACAGACTGGTTTCTGAGTTCCTCCAAGAAGTGCTTGCTCATGAGGTAACGTCTACTAGTGTGAACTGAGAGTAAGACAAAACAAGAGGCCACAGTTGAAGAACTTTTTAAACAGCCCTCTTCCATTTGAAAACTCCTAGAGCACTTTACTATTGTATCAGATATCTTTGATGTAAGATACACATTAATGCTGCCAATTGCTTTTAGAATAAATTAAAGGCGCATTTTTCTAAAGTAATGTTAGAATTTCAGTTCCTCAAGCATTCAAATATTATTTTAATATTAGAATTGTATTGCTTTCTCAGCTTATTTGTTTCCTCTCATCATAAAAGAATATAAGGGGAAATGAGAATTTATGATACTAAAAGTAGAGGAGCAGTGCAGTTATTCACATTCAGCAGTGTGACTTTTTTTTTTTTTTTTTTTTTTTTTTTTTAGGATTATGCCAAGAATGTTCCTTTAAATTAAATTTTCATCACAGGTAATTTATCTTTTAAAATGCTATTTTTAAGGGTTAGTAGTCTTGGACTTAGTAACTTATCTGCATTGAATGTTTAAATGTAGATTTGAAGGGTTGATGGTTTGATTGGTTGATTATATTGAACAGTGTTTCCCAAAGTGTGGTACGCATACCCCCAGAAGTATGGGAAAGTTTGGTGTGGGTACGCGTTGTACTGGAGTTTGATGGGGATATGCACTGCACCGTGCTTAGCTGCGCCTAATTCTATGTTCTCATGAGTACGAGGGGTACTCGGCATTACGAAAATTATAGAAGGGGATACACATACCTATGTCAAAAGTTTGGGAAACACTGAATAGAATATTGGCATCACTTTATGGCCACATACACGAGAGAACTGGAATGGAAATTCATGATGCCTTAATCTAGCCATCCAGTTTTAAATGTGAAGGCTTGTGCAGGATGGTAGGTAGATCCTAGAATTTTTAGTTTGGAGTCTATGTTCAGATACCATGATATTCTTAGAAACTGTATTATAAAGCAGATCTTCATAATGTGATTCTTATGTCTCATTTAAACAGTGTTTTAATTGGAGTTTGTCATTCATAGCAAAGGATTATAAACCTCTGTGTTGAAATCAGGTTTCTACCAAATGAACTAGAATGTGTCTGCATACTGAGTAGATGAGGGTTATCAGTATTCTGGAAAGTGCAATAGATGTAAGATCATGGGCTTTGAAATCAGACCCCTGTGTATTCCTCTTAGCTATTCCACTTACTAGTCATCTTCACGAGCACTTAATCTCTGTTAGACTAAATTTTATCATCTTTAAAAATTAGGGTACTAAGGTTATTATGGGGATTGCATGAAAGTGCCTGATATATGGTAAGTTAAACATAGTGGAGTCCCGAGCATTGAAGATGTTCAGACAAAATCGGTGTGACCTCTCAGGGTTGTGGTGGTTAGGTTTCATGTTCTGAGTAACAATTGAAAGTCTAAGAGTAAGATCCTACATCTTTATAAAATATCAAAGTTAGTATATTAATTTTAAAATCAGCTATATTTTAAATGTGGCCTATCTAGAATTTTAGCAATTAAATATTAAAAATAAATATTACATAATTTTTTTATTTTTAAAATTAGTAGAATTTTTAGTTTACTTGAATAGCCTAAACCATTATTTTCCCTCTGTATCAATGATACTGAACAATATCAAAGGCTTTTATCTTACCTTAACTTTCAAGCTTCGTTTCAAACTTGCAATGATTCTTATGAGAAATAAAAAATTATTACTGTCTTGAATAGTATTATATAACATTTGGCACTAGAACCTTAATTTTTGGCAAGTATAATAAGTTTCTTAAAAGTAATGCTGTCTGTTATCTCTTCATCTTCCTTTCTCTGAGTTATAGCATTCTCACCTTTTCCTATTAAATATTTCCTTTTATCACCAATTAAAATCAATTGCTTGACAACCATGGTACCAATAACCTTGTAAACCTGGCCTAGAAGAATAAAGTTACAGCAGTAAAAGGATAAATGGTCTAAAGTAGACATATGAGTTAACAATACATCCTTCCACCCTCATTCTATAATATTGATAGTTTCACTGAAGGGTGCGGCAAAAGTAGTTTTACAGTTGTGAGTACATGAAACAGAGTTTATTCTTGTATATTTATTGTTGCATTGTTTTCCATAAGAAACAACTGTAAACCTACTTTTGCTCTACTCTGCATATTTTTTAATTCTTAAGAGAATTTTCTGTTTATTGGTGGTGTAGAACTGTGTATTCTTTTTGTTGTACTTGTTTTTCGAAGTATAAGTAGATAATGAATTATTTGAAGGGAAATGAGATTTGTTTTGTAATTTTCTTTTAAATAGCTAAATAGAATATAAAAAGAAGGAAATCAGTAAAAGTATGATTTATATTTACTAGGTTTGTATATAGAACTTATAAATAATACTTTTTTGTCTCAGAATTTTCAGGCATTATTATCTTACAGAATTGTCCTAAATGAATACTAACCTAAAATACTTACAGTCTCATTTAAGGAAGTACTTTACTGATTTTTTTTTCTCATTGGTTTTAATTTTTATAAAGGTCAATTGAAAAAGTTGAAAAAATTAACTTTAATTTTATATTGTTCAACATAAAGGAGAAAAGAAGTTAAGTCCAAAAAAAGGAAGGACAGAATCAAAAAAGATTCTGAAGAGTCATCACATAAAAAATCCAGATTATCTCCTGCAGAAGGGACCTCTGAGAAAAAGAACAAAGGTAAAGGGAATTAGGATACTATATCTACTCATATTTCTGAAAATGAAGTGTGATCTTCCATATGTTTCAAATGTAGAATGTAATTGGTGAATATGTTTAGAATTCTGTTTTATAGTTGTTGACAGGAATCTGATTGGAGAATCTAGATATGAATTTATAATAATAGGAGTTTCAAGAACAAGATTGGTTTTGACTAATTTTTGGCAGATGGTATAATATTTTCCAAAAAGCCTTCTAATTTCTGGATTTGTCAATTAAAGACTTGTTACCTTGAGCAAGTTACTGAAATCTTGAGTTTTACTTTCCTTTTCAATTGAAAAAGTTGAAAAAATTAACTTTAATTTTATATTGTTCAACATAAAGGAGAAAAGAAGTTAAGTCCAAAAAAAGGAAGGACAGAATAGGAGTATTATTACTATATAGCCTCTGTAGAACGTGAGCTTATTGTGGAGAATCAAATAATGTGAAAGGCACTTTTAACACTTTAAAACAGCTGTCGCCAACCTTTCGGGTCCGCAGACCGTCGGCTGGCGACTGCTGCTCCAAAGGCTTCCTCAAACCAGCGGTCGCCAACCTTTGGGACCTCACGGACCATCAGTGGTCCGCGGACCACCGGTTGGCGACCGCTGCTTAAAATAATACATAATCTATAAGTCAGTATAAAATTATAACACTTTGATTTCAATTATGGTCTGATTTTCTCGTTAGCATATGACCTTGAAATGATAGAGATTGATATAATGTGTCATCAGAATCTAGCATGGTGCTGTGCACATATACTGAGTAAATAATTATTAAATTCAAATTCATCAATTCTTCCTCTGCAATCTTTAGGCTTTCTAAGCCTTCATTTCTTCATGTGTAAAATGGTCATGAAATTAGTACTTAGCTCATAGAATTGTTCAAAATTCAAATGAGATAATACATGTAAGCAATTTGCTTGATACTTGCCACATAATTAGCTATTATGAAAGTTACTGCTAATTGCTTTTTTAGTCCCTAATAGAATCAGATTGGCTATAACTTAAGAGTGATTTAGACTTAAATTAGGTAGATAATGGTAGATTGAATTAGATTCAGTCCAATGCTAATAAATACTTGAACAGGAGAGGGCTCCCTTGCTTCAGCTGTGAAGATCTTTAGCTAGGTTACATTCTTACATGCATTTTTTTTCTTCTGCTTGCATATTATGCTATATTTAAGTTTATAATATCCAGTTTAGGCTTGATAAAATTGATAGATTGAAAGGAAAATACTATTATTCTATTGTTTATTGAGAAATGACATTCAAACCAGAATGCCTTTTTGTCTCTATCTTAATCATTAACTCTAAAATAAATTTTAATTAATAAATGTGAAAATATAATTTGAGCTTTTAAAAAATTTTATATACTCTTATGTTCTAGTAAAATATTTGAAAATTTTGTTGCATTCGTTTTTGTATTACATGATATTGTTACATTCATATCAGAGTATGATACCATGTTAATCACTGCATATTCCAAATTAAAGAAGAACTAATCCCTTGTAAAAATTTATTCATTACCTTCAAAACAGGTAATTAGGTAACTGGATACTTGGGATGGGTTGCACCATGCATGTTATCTTCCTTATAAATATTTTTTTCTTCAGTGTTCCATATTTCAGTAGATGGCAGACATATTTGTTAACCCATATAATAATATCAGAAACCTAGGCATTATCCTCAATGCTGACTTTTTTTTCTTTCATTATTTATGTTTAACTTGTCACCGAATTCTATCAGCTTTACCCCAGAATATATATTTCTCAAGTTCTCTCTACCCTAGTTCAAACTACCATGTTTTCTCATCTAAGCTTCTGCTCTATTCTCCTTACTAGTTTCTTTACTGTCTTGATTTCCCACCTTCTCTTAATCTGTTTGCCATAATGCAGTGATATCCTCTTGTTCTTGGGATAATAATCTAAATCCTGGACAAAGCCTAAAGGCTCTAAATAATCCTATATAATAAAAGCCTAATATGCTGTCTGGTCTTCCAGTCATCCATTCAACCAATTAAAGTGTAATATGCTAATGATATACTAAGGCCCCTCAACCACTCGCTATGATGTGCACTGACCACCAGAAGGCAGACAGTCGATCAGTTGACCAGTCGCTATGACATGCACTGACCACCAGGGGGCAGATAGTTGACCAGTAGACCAGTCGCTATGATGTGCACTGACCACCAGGGGGCAGATGCTTCTACCGGTAGGTTAGCTTGCTCCTGGGATCTGGCCTATCGAGACCTAGCGAGAAGGACTGGACACACACTGGAGCCCTCCTGCAGTCCCTCTCCAGCTGGCCAACTTCCTGCATCCCTCCCCAGCACGATCATGCATCAGTGGGGTCTCTTGGCCTGGCCTGCACCCTCTTACAATCCATTACCCCTTGGGGATGTCAGAGAGCCAATTTCGGCCCTATTCCACAGGCCAGGCAGAGGGACCCCACTGATGTATGAATGAATTTGTGCACCGGGCCTCTAGTCTTGTGTACAAGGCTTGTTTCTCACAACTCTCCACCTCACTTTCATACTTTACCCACAGAGCCTTTTCCTTTCTGGAAATTCCAAACTTTTTTAAATTTAGGGACTACATAAACACTATTTCCTCTCTTTTTAAAACTCCTAGTCCCGCCGAAACCGGTTTGGCTCAGTGGATAGAGCCTTGGCTTGCCGACTGAAGGGTCCCAGGTTCGATTCCGATCAAGGGCATGTACCTTGGTTGTGGGCATATCCCCAGTAGGGGGTATGCAGGAGGCGGCTGATCGTTATTTCTCTCGCATCGATGTTTCTAGCTCTCTATTCCTCTCCCTTCCTTTCTGTAAAAAATCAATAAAATATATTTTAAAAAAACAAAAACAACCTCCCAGTCCCATCCTAACTTATCCTTCTCTCTTATCGATGTTTCTAACTCTCTATCCCTCTCCCTTCCTATTTGTAAAAAAATCAATAATATATTATATATATGTATGTATTTTTTTTTTAATAGCCCAAGGAGATCAGGAATTCTGTCTGCTATGTTCATTGCTATATCTCCAGCACCCATTAGCACATTAGGAATAAAGAATGAGAAAATGAAAGATTTTGAACATTGTTTCAAGCAAGTTCAGGGAAAGAAAACCAAACATAGTGGAATTGAATTATCTTGTTTTTATTTATTCAGAGTATCTTTGATAGCAGAGAGTACAGGATATAGTGTTTTGTTTTGTTTTCCAGCTTAGGTGATAGAAAGTAGAAAATTATTTTTTAGCTAACTTAATAGGAAAACCATGTGGAACTCTTTAATATCTTCTTATTGGAACACTCTGGAACTAGAATGATCTTGATGTGATACTCTCTTGCTAGACCACCTTAATTTGGCTCAAATTTGAATAGCAATTAATAAATGCTTAATATCACAGCTGCACTTAGACTGTTGACACTCCTCAAAACAATCTACTTCTTTTTATTTCCTTCCTGTCTTCCTGGCCTTTCCTCATCTTTTTTTTTTTTTACTACAGTTCCTTCTTGGTCTTACCCTTAGATGTTGGAGTTGCTCAGGCTGTTATAGACTTTCTTCTCTCTCTCTGTTCCTCCTGTATGATCCCATCTATTCCCACAGCTCAGATTACTGTTACATAAAATGTTACATAAGTATATGTTTGGTTGAATGGATGGATGGATGGATGGATGGATGGATGGATGGATGGATGGATGGATGGATAATTGGATGGCTGGGTGGCTGGGTCAACGGAGAGGATGTGTAAGAAAGACAGATCAGTAGCTTGACTTTGAGGAACAGTTTGATTTGGTAGGTGTGAGCAGAACTTACCGTAGGTAGACTGACTTGACAAAAACTTTAGGATCTTTCCCCTCCCACCACCACCACCCCAATCCCAAGCTCAATCCTTGGAAAGGCCTTTTCTGACATCCTTCACCCCACTCTTCGGGTAAGGTTAAGTTCCTGTTACACATTTCAGTAGAACTCTTTTGAAAGAACTCACTAGATAACCATTGTAGAACTGAACATTTTAGTTTTATGACATAATTGTACATGTGATTTTTCAATTACTGAGAATTCTCACCTGTAAAGGATCTTTGGAAAAGTATTTTGAAAAATGAGTATTTATTTGTAAACAGCTTTTAGATGTTCAACATCTGTATAAAGTAGTAGTTCTATTGTAGTGAGTCTATGGGTGTTTTTTTTGTTTTGTTTTGTTTTGTGTGGGTTTTTTTTTTTTTTTTTTTTTAGTAACATGAAATTTTTTTTACAGGTATTTATTATTTTTTAAGCTTTGTGCTAGGTATTCCAGTCCATATTAAGGTATAAACTGTCCCTGCAAAGAACCTAACATTTTAATTAGGGAAATAAGCCTAAGGAACATGAAAGATTGGAAGACGGTGAATCGCTTTTCTATAAGACTATAATGTAAAGACTATTAGGAAGAATTCTGGTTACAGCTATGACTATTGCACTACTGCAAGAGGATTCTTACCAAAAAATGCTGTTTCCTTTTTAGGACATTCATCCTCAAAGAAATCAGAAGATTCTGTAAACCGTAAGTATTAAGTATCTGTTTATTTAATAAAAATATGGAGATTCAAGTTATTTGCAATTTAGGTTTCCCATGAATTATGATCTGCTGTAATGTAAATTATTTTTTGTTTTTGTACTATGTGAGAAAAATCATAGAAAAAGACCAGATGTGTATGATTTCTTCCCCAATTAAGAACACTTAAAAGTTTCTTAAGTATTAGGAGAGCATTAATTTTTTTTCTGTGGATACAATAGATACACATTTTAATTTTACATTATGGATTATGAAGGAAGAGAAATGGAGGGATGGGGTTGGAGGTGGATTAAGATTTAAGAAATGTTGCTTATGTTGCACGGGACTGAGTTATCTCATTTGGTAATTTTGATCAAATGAAGTTTGTGATTTGTACATGGAAAGCAAATGGTAGTTATTTTTTTAATAAGTCCTATGGTTTTCACAAGATTGGATCAAACCAAATTTATGAACTATTTGCTACTTCCACTTCCAACACAGAGTCAGTGACTTAAATTCTAATCCCCACTTGCCAATAGGTTTGCATAGATTTGACACTGATGGGAGGGTTTCATTTTGTATTGCCCATTGTACTAATTGTTATTTCTTTAGCACACTCTTCCCATCTCTGGGAGGGTATAGCAGTTATCATAGGAGTCAGTTTAGTTAAAAATAATAAAGATACTTCTATTTAAAAATTATGACAAAATTGACATTTTTCAAATCACCCTAAACTAGTCAACTAAAAGTGATCAAATATTAAAATATAAGGCAATAAAATTATATGCCACAAAGTAATTACATTAATAATTAATTCTTTTCCAAAAATGACCATTCGTCTAAAAAAAGAGTTGACACAAATTTGGCCTGTCAGTGCAGAATGTCAATACAGAATGTCCTTTAGTTAAACACCACAAAAATAAAACAGTACTGGTTTGCCACGGTGGTTCTAGCCTTTTACCTGTTGAACTTTGATTCTTGAATCAACATGTGTATCTGAACTTTGGTCCTAACTGAATCTGTTCTGGCACACATTATAACAAAAAAATGGATAAAAAAGAGGGGGTACATTTCTAATGATCTACATACAAAGGTGAAAACATTACAAAGCCTCTGTCACTCTGTAATAACCAGTGTCCCAAATGAATATACGAGAAGAATCAAGTCTTCTCTTATTTTTATGAAAAAACAAACAAACCCCCTCATACACAAAAAAACCCCGTCTAATTAGGCTAAATCAAGTTATTACTATGATGTAACCCTGTTAATGATATAAGAGAACAAATTCTACAATGCCTTTGAAAATGGACAGCTAATTTAAAAGGCTTTACAACCACTTGCTCTCATATTCCTTCTCAAGAGTACTTTTCAGTTTCCAGATTTCCTACACTAGTTTTCTGATGCCAGATGAGAGGACTAGTTGATTCCCAGTGGAATCAGGCTCGATTCCGAGTAGGGGATGTGCAGGAGGCAGATGATTGATGATGTTCCTCTCTCATCGATGTTTCTATCTCTTTATCCCTTTCCCTTCCTCTCTCGCTAAGAAAAAAAAAAAAAGAAGAATCAATAATAATATATTAAAAAATTTGATATAACATATTTTTCCATGGTAATACATACAGATATGGTAAGGTCTTTTTAGCAGCTGTATAGTATTTATTAAACCAATCTTTACTCCCTAATTGGTTGGGATTTAGGTTTTCACTTTTGTTGTTAGTATAGTGCAATGAGCATCTTTACACATATATTTAAGGTGCTTATTTTAAGTAAATAATTAAATTTCTAAAAGCATCTTTGCTAGTTAAAAGGTTATGTATTTTCTAAACTAATCTGTATTACCAGATTTTCCTTAAGAAAAAGTTTACAGAATTTTTACTCTTAATAAATACATATGAGAATTCTTGTTTCTTCACTGAAATAGGCCTATTCTCATTAATGTTCTTTCTACAAAAATCTTAATTTACATGTCTTATGTATGACCAAAAAAAAAGAAAAAGAAAGAAAAAGAAACTATTCAAGGACAACCACGTATAGTGCAAGAGATAGTTCCCTTATAAGAGTTAATATTGTAATTACTACTTTAACTTAGTGTAACTTTAAAAAGTTTTCCATGAGACTTTAAATCCTCTGTCTTTTTTGCCAACACTCTTCAGTGTATCTCAGATTATTTATTTATTTTTAGAAAGAACTTATTGGTCTGGAAGAGTGAAATAAATTTCCAGAGAGCCATAAAAGTTGAAGCTGCAGTTAAATCTGAAGTTAATTTAATTGCATTGGTGGGTATTTCAAAATGTGTTTTAAATATAATACTTATGTTTTTTTTTTAATCTTTTTTAAATGAACAGGAAGCTCTGACGAGGAAGAAAGTACCTCAGAATCTGAACTTTGGAAGGGCCCCTTACCAGAGACCGATGAAAAATCACAGTAAGTTCTAATATTAATAGATAATGCACATCTTTACATCAGTTTAGGAAGCTCCGACCACAGCCATTCTTGATAGCAGTTAATGAAAAACCTTATCATCATGAATGTCTGTTTAATGCTAAGGGCCACTTAGCCTGGTAAGATCAGTGTATACCCAGCCATTGTTTGTAGCCATGAAGAACCAACTTGTTCAGCTTCCTCTTGGTGAGTAAGTCTTTCCTCAGCTCTAATAATGATGACCTCTGGTTTCTGCTTAGATTCCTTCTGTTGTTTACTAGCTTCTAGAGCAGCCTGCCAATGATATTTTGGTTATCATAAACTTGAACTTAATGCTATTTGAAGACATATACAGTATAACATTTAATTGCCAAAATCCTTTCCCCCAAAGACAGGTAACTCATTGCATGCATTTTTTTCTGCTATGGGTTGTAAGAGCTGTCCATTTATAAGATAGAATGGTATCAACTCTTCATCTACTGGGATGTCACCACTTGAACTTTATCTGTTAAAAGAGGATAAATGATACCTATTGCATAGAGCTTATTATTAAAGTTTGATGAAATGAATGTAAATACCTGTAAGTACAGTAATTGCTCAATAAGTTTTAGTCTCATTTTGTTAGTTCCTAAGCATTTTTGGTTCATAATAGAAAGAGACCTTTTAAATCAGTCATAATTTAATAATTTAAGCTGGTTTTAAAATATCTTGTTAAATATATGTTCTCTAATAGAATTCAGATGCATTTGAAAGAAGTGTTTTGTTTTAAAAAAATTACTTTTTTCTGTATCCTTTGTTCTTTTTACTTATTTTTAACCAAATAATTTTCACGGGTGGCCATTATACATCACATTATTAAAAAGTTATTGCTATAAGTAAAATATTGCTATCGTAAATTATTGGCTAAACTTTCAACTGTATAACTTCCCCTTGAATAGCTTTACTGCTGAAAATAACAGAATAGGTTTTAGAGTTAACTCATCTTTTTAGACAATAAAGACACTTGATTAAATCCTAAGTAGGCTTTTATAATCCAGAACTCTTTATGATTTTATAAAAACTTGGCATTGATCAAGTACTGAACATCTGAGTACACACAGAGATTCAGTTAATTTTACTTATTTAAGATCTTGCTATAATTTTAAAAATTCTATTGCATTCTCTGCCATGCTAGGGGAAAGGGACAGTAGCACAGGGAATACCAAGTTGCAGATAATTCTTAAAACTGTATCTGATTCTGCAATTTTTTTTTCAATTTTGACATGGTTGTGAAGGCTTTATGCAGTCACAAATGATAGAGTCCCATTGTGAATCTCTGATCTAAAAAGAACGTTTTCTAAAGAGATTGGTACACTGAATTTGACTATTCAGCTTGATACCCCATTCCCAGAAGGAAGAAAAGCAACTTTATATACATTTAATCCTTACAGCAACTCTATGAGGAAATGTAATGTTCTCTATTTTACAGAAAAGTAAACTGAGCCCAGAGGAGTTAAGTAACTTGCACCCGCAGCTAATAAGTGACAAAGCTGTGGTTTAAACACTGTCTGACTTGAAAACCTGTGCCATTTCCACAGTACCACTCTGGCTCCTAGCATTAATATTTATTTAGTACTTAATACTTTTTAAATTATTTAAACACATTAAAATATAATTAATATCTCTTTCAGAGTTCTATTCTTTGTTTTAGACATAATCTACTGGTAAATTTACTATTTTACTCTTCTTTTAGTAAGAAAAAATTGAAGTTTAAATATATTTTTCCTAATGCTAGGAGTAAGACTTGAGTATTTTTAAAATACTTTATTTTTCATTCATTTCTTTTTTAAAAAAAAATATCTTTATTGTTGAAAGTATTATAGATATTACCTTTTCCCCTCTTATTGACTCCCTCCTCCCTGCTCCCACTCCTTCCTCAGGCCTTCACTGCACTATTGTCTGTGTCCATGGGATGGATGGATATATATATATATCTATATATCTATATCTATATCTATATCTATATCTATATCTATCTATCTATCTATCTATCTATCTATCTATATATATATATATATATATGTAATTTCTTGACCACACTATAATTTAATATGAGAATGAAAGAGAAGTTATAAAGTGAACAAAAAAGTAAATAGAAGAGGTGACATTTTATAAAGTATTTCAAAGTAAAATCTTAGGCAATAAATACATTTAAGGAGCGGTGCTAACATAAAATATTTTCATTTCATTCAATCTGGGTATAGTTTTGGTTGCTCTAGAACAGTGGTCCTCAACCTTTCTAATACCTACAGCAACGGTTCACGACCCACAGGTTGAGAACCACTAGCAGGGTCACCTAAGACCATCGGAAAACACAGATATTTACATTACGATTCATTAACAGTAGCAAAATTACAGTTATGAGGTAGCAATGAAAATAATTTTATGGTTGGGAGTCACTACAACATGAGGAACTGTATTTAAAGGGTTGCGGCATTAGAAAGGTTGAGAACCACTGTTCTAGAAGCTAATAATTATTTAATGCAGTGTTTCCCAAAGTGTGGTACGCGTACCCCCAGGGGTACGGGAAGATTTGGTGGGAGTATGCACTGCACTGTGCTTAGCTGCGCCTAATTCTATATTCTCATGAGTACGAGGGGTACTCAGCATTATGAAAATTATAGAAGGGGTACACATATGTCAAAAGTTTGGGAAACACTGATTTAATGGATGAATAATGCAATATATTGACATGTAGAAAAATCAGCAAGTATGTTGAATTAAAATATTGTCACTGTGTCACCTAGTAATATTTTTTTCTGTTTATTTTAATCAATTTGTATCCTTTTTTTTAAATAGGGAAGAAGAATTTGATGAGTATTTTCAAGATTTATTTCTGTGAGATGGAAGAAAGAAGCTTACTTTCTTTATTATAAAAATATACTTTGAGGCTTTCTGAAATGTTTTATCTACAAGTCGCAGTTTGAGTGATTTGTCTTTGGAAATAAAAATTCATCCTCTCTCAAGATGTCAGATGCTTTGGAAGTTCATTTGTGCTATTGGAGACACTTTTCCACTCTTTGAATATCTCTTGAGTTGCTTATCTACAACTATTTCATCTGTAGCTCCTAGAGGTTGGAGCCAGTACATTGTACAATTCCATGGTTTGGGGGAGTTTTCTTCTTACTTATTCATATTTCCTTGACTCATTATTAGAATCTCACAAAAAATATTAAGTAGATTAAGTATATCTTCAACTTCTTTACTTTCATTTGATACACTGGCATCTCTCTCTTGAGCACCTGTTTCACATTACTACCTATATCTAGCTGCCTCTTTTTCCCCCCTTACCTTTCTGTTGCTTCCTTCTCATCTCTACCACTGAAAGGACTTAGTTATAATCAAATTTGATTTTTTCAGTGTGTGTATTTTATTACAAAACAAATATCATGGAGAACCAAATAAGGTCCCAGTAGTCTGAAACAGAGGATATATTCACAAAAGTTGACTCCAACAGAGTTTACACAATAATTAAACTAAATAATACAGTGTGCATAAAATAGGGCTTGTCTCAGATACAGTCAGGCAAGTGTGGATATACTTAATGCACAGATATATTCTAAAAGGTAACTTCTTAACTCATAACAAGAGTAATTGGGCGTGTTTTAGGAGAACTATGCACTCCTAGAAGCTGTGTAAAACTTCAATGTCTGTGTTTTTGTAGGGAAGGTTCTATAGTTTTCATCAAATTTTCAAAAGTATTTATTGATTAAAAAAAATTAAGTCCCACTTTTATAAAGAGCAAAGATAGAGAGGAGAAGATGTATGATTTGATTAATAAGGACATTTGGTATTGCAAGAATGGTTAATGGACAACTTCATTTGTCAATTTAGATCATTATTGATAATCACAACATCTAATCCACTTATACATAACTAGAGGCCCAGTGCATGAATTCATGCAGAGGTGGGATCCCTCTGGGTGGCCTGCGGGGATCAGGCCAAAATTTGCAGTCCAAAACTGCCTGCAGCTTCTACCTGATGCTCCCACTCATGCCAGCTCCACTGTGCCTGCCATGGGCTTCTGCCCAATCAGTCCTGATTGGGAGAAGCTTGCACCACTGCAGCAGTACTCACCAGCATCTCGTGTCCTCCCAAAGGGAGTGGCCTACAGAATTGGGCCTGAAGCCAGCTCTCCGACATCCCCCAAGGGATTCTGGATTGTGAGATGGTGCATGCCAGGCTGAGGGACACCACCAATGCACAGTCGGGACTGGGGAGGGACTACCATAGGGCTCTAGGGCATGTCCAGCCAGTCTCGCTCAGCCCCAATCTGCCGGACCCCAGCAGCAAGCTAACCTACCAGTTGGAGCATCTGCCCCCGGTGGTCAGTGCTTGTCATAGCAAGTGGTTGAACGGCCTTAGCATATCATTAGCATATTACGCTTTGATTTGTTGAACAGTTGCCATGTCAATGGAAGATCGGACACTTAGCATATGAGGCTTTTATTATATAGGATGGCAAATTATAGGAGTCATATTTTTAAGGAGTCTTTGAAAAGGCTTCAAGATGATGAGTTTAAAGATTGATTCTCCCACAGACCTATTTCAAATTTGACTATAGTGCAGTCAGTGTTGCTTAGTGGTTTGGAATATGAAATGTACTTACTTACATTTATTCTTAAGTGAAGTTCCTAGTTTTGTAGACCTTAACAGGGGGCACATTTCTTCCCCACAATTCACTTTTTAGTGAATGAGGAAGGGAAGTGTTTGAGCTTATGTTTTTGGGTCCAAAATTACATAAAGCTAAAGAACAATTTTTTAAATGCAGCCTCTAAAATAATCCTAGAAGTGGAATTTCAAAAATTATTTTAAGTAATAGAAATAAGATGTATAGTACCACTTATTATCCACTTAAATAGAAAACACTTATTTGGTTGTCGATATTGAGGGTTTTTTTCTTCCTCAAAATATTAACTTACAGGCACTTCTCATTTATAAACCTGAGTGAAGAGATTTATTAAAAATATTCATATTTACTGAACACTTACCTTAGCACTAGGCACTTCTATAGGTGCCCGGTGGCATTATGAACAAAACCTCCTAAAATGGACAAAAACTTTCATCTCATGGACCTTACATTCTTATGTGAGAGTAGCAGTCAGGATTCTAAGTACCCAACTTACAGAAGTCTAACAAATGGTAAGTTATTTCTAGGCTGCTTAAAATTAATATCTCCTGGTTAACAAAACATTAGAGGCTCGATCATCAATTTGTTTCATTATAATTTAGGTATCTTTTGATTTAAAAATCTATGGTGTGATTATTATTTGGTCTGTTTTCTAATTCAGTCTATGGTTATAGATAAGTAAAGAAATGTTAAGTTTTTCTAATATCCTGACATTCACCATGTAGTAGAAGTAGTGGATTGTCCTTATTATCTCTGGACAAATACATAGATCCTCGAGGGATCCCAGATTGAAGAGGGTGCAGGCTGGGCTGAGGGACACACACTCCTTGTGCATGAATTTCATGCACTTGGCCTCTAGTAGTTTATAAGCTGCCTAAAGTGGAGTGGTCTTTACCATTCCATTATCAAGGGTAAAATGTAGAGGAGAGAGATGATAAGTAGTAGAGATTAAATAATCCTTGACTTGTTTTTTATATAGTGTTTATATACATTTTATACCATGTATACTCCTACAATAAGACATGTTGATGAGGTATTTTTAGTTCAGGAAGGGGTTTGAGTATATATCGTGATTATTAATGTTATGGGCTGAATTGTGTCTCCCCCACAAAGGCATATTGAAATAGAAATGCCCAGTACCTCATTGTGACCGTATTTGGATATAGGGTATGTAAAGAGGTAATTAAGGTAGTATGAGGTCATATAAATGAGCCCCAATCCAATGCAACTGTGTGCTTATGAAAGATTAGAACACAAATACACAGGAGGAAGACCATGTAAAGACAGGGAGAGGCTGGCCATCTGCAAACCTGGGAGAAACCAACATCTTGAACTTGAATCTCTAGCCTCCAGAATGGTGAGAAAATAAATTTCTGTTGTTTAAGTCATCCAGTCTGTGGTATTTTGTTATAGTGGCCCTAGCAGATGAGTACAATTAATAAGCACTTTAAAAAAGGAATTATATCTTTTAATTTAAAACAGATGGGCATCAAAAAATGCACTCATTCTCCTCTTATTTTGCACTTTTGTGGAACTTTATTTTATCCTCAGGTATTCTGGCTAGCAGTGTGTTTTCCCCTGGTAGTCACAAGAGGAGTTTTTATGAGCCCCTCTTTCTGTGTTACTTGATGGTTTGCTGAATGAAATTTGCTGAAGTTCTTTTGAACGTTTTCTCTTTTTCTTCAAAAGTAGAAACAATATTTGAAATGTAAACCAAAGGGAACGTATTACAGCATTAGGCATGTTTTGGACTTTTTGTCATCAACACCACCTCCTGAATCTTCTGTAGCTAGTAAAAAGGAGAAAAGCAGTATTATTGGGAGTCTGTAGCTACCTGGTGTTTTTATTCTAATACTCTAATGATATTAGTATTAACTTTGCAGCTTAATTAGTTTTAGCTTATAGCAAATACTAAAGGCTTGACTATTTAAAAACTTAAACACATATTCAGAATGAGTCCACTTAAAAAACAGAATCTAATAAAGAATTAGCCAATTATAACATCTGTTTCTCAAGAGGACCACTGAAGTACACAATCTGGGAATCTGAGTTGTTGCTTTGGGCTAGGCACAAAGCTTGTTGCCTGGAAATACAAAATAGCTTTGCTAGTTCACGGAAACTTGTCACTGTAATAGGATAAAAGTTCAGCAGTGATTTTTATGCGCATAAAGTAGAGGAGGTCCACATTCAATATACTGAATACTAAAAAAAAAAAAAAAAAAATTTAAATGCCAGGAGCCACTTAAAGGACCTGATATCCTATTACCCTGTTTATCATAAAATTGAGAGAAAGGTTAAATTTAATTGTACTAAGAAATATTACTTGCTCAGTAAAAGTACCACTTTTGTTATCTTTTTGAAGTGCAAATTAGATATTATGGCTTTCCTGTTTAAATCCCTTTAATGACTTCCCCTAGCTCTTCTGGAAAACACATCCTTAGTAAGCCCTTCAGGGCAACACAGCCTGGCAGGACCGTCAGCATGACCAGCTTCGTCTGATACTTTGCCCTGGTTACTGTCTAGTCTCCTTACGTTCTCCAGTTGCACCAAGTTTATCGCCACTTCAAAGCCTTTGTACAAATTCTCTTCTTCTTCTCCCTTCTGAACCCCACCTCTCTTTGCTTAGCCAGAGTTCAGAGTCTAGCATAAGCATCCTTCCTCGGGTACACACCTCATGCTTCCTCTGATAGTTAGATAACCAAGCATTCATTTATTTTAACATCTAGCTCCCCCATGTGTGAGATAAGGGCCCAGTCTCCCCAGGGCCTGCCTAACACAGGGCCTTGTACTGAATAAGTACCTAAGTGAATGGATATCAAGGAGTTAGAAACTCCTATTTTTATTCTGTTGAAGGATATCCTTAACCTCTTCAGCAAAAGACTTTCTCTCTCTTTGAAGTCTTTAAAATACTGCTAGACACAATAGGATGCTCTAAAAGGACTGTTGTATCTTCTGTTTTGCAAGGCCTTTCCAGATAGAGATGATTTCTTTGTTAAACAATAAGAATTCCTTACAAAACTTTTTGAGTGCTGAACTCTCAAGGAAAAAAATGTCATTATATTCACATTCTACTTTAAAGATGACAGTTTGAGACATCTGATGAACTAAAGGTTGATCCTGAATGTCTTACAGAGATTTTCTGAAGAAAGTCGAACAAAGTGATTTTAGGAGAAGCTATTTCATTAGGGAAAATAGTGTGAGGAGACATTTGA